GCCCCGCCGTCGCGAAGCCGCTCCGAAGTCATAGAGCGCCCAAACACAGCGCTCAAGCCCATTCCGCCAGCCCAGCGCTCACGGCTGCCCACCACGCTCGCCTCGTCAGCCAGCAAGACCAGCAGCCGCATCAAGCCTCTGACCGACCCCACCAGCCTGACATGGACCCGCGCACGCCTGCAAAAGGAGCGCGACGACTGGTGGGACACGCAGGTCACGGGCTCGGAAGAGATCTGGGGAGCCATTCGCCTGGCCGCACAGCATTTGCAGGCCGGCCAGCTCCAGGAGGCTCAGACGATGCTTGACGTCACCGGGTGCACATGCCCGACAGGCCTCTTCTGGCGCGGCGTCTACGACCCCACGGGCGTGCAGTACAAAGTCCCCGAATGGGTTGTCGTCGAGCCCGACGGCCTAGTCGAAGACCATGTCGATGACAAGATGCTGGCTGGGCCTGTAGCCGCCAGCCCGGATGCCCAAGACGACGACGACGACGGCCCGGACGAGCTGGCGAGCGTGCGTGTGAGGACGAGTCATGATTCAAAGGACGTTATACTCGACATCCACAAGAAGGACTCGGTTGCTGTGATTATCGGTAAACTCAAGGAAGCCGCACAGGTATGTTTATTTATTTATTTGTTTTATACCCTTGACTGCGTGTGTGTGTGTATATATGTATTCATGAGGTGACACGCTGCTAATATCCACATGCAAAAAAAAAAGATCAATGCCTCCGCCAGAGTCCGCCTAGCCTACGGCGGCCGCGTATACCACGACTACGAAGTCCTTGAAGCGCAACCACATTGGAACTTTGCCAATGGCTTTGTGCTGAATGCTCTTGTTTTTCAATAATCATCTTTTTTCTTTTTGGGGGGGGGGAGTTCTAGTTTTCTGTCTACTAATGAATAGCATAATCATCACCACTCTCCAACACTACTACTACTACTACTACTACTACTACTACTACTACTACTACTACTACTACTACTACTACTATTAGTACTATCAGTACTGATACTTATCACCATGTAATCCCTCGAGTTAATTTTTTCCTTTCTTTCTTTCTTTCTTTCTTTCTTTCTTTCTTTCTTTCTTTCTTTCTTTCTTTCTTTCTTTTATTGCTCAAGTTTTTTTTTCTTTCCCCATCTTTTTTCTCACAGCATTGCTCCTTGATTGGGCCCGCTTTGATACCCCGGGGTTTTTTCTTGCACTGCACTGCACACTTGGATGCAATTCAAACACACTGGAGCGGTTGAGGCGGAAACGAAGGCGGTTAGCGTTGGACTGGGACTGAACTGCTGACCAGGGCTTGCTGACAGGGGGGAGGGAGGGAGGGGTGTGGATGGGGATATTTGTGGGGAGGGGAGGGGAGGGGAAGCCATCCATGTTTTGAACAGCTTCAGCTTCAGCTTCAGCTTCAGCATCAGCTTCAGTATCAAGATCCTGTTCTAGTGTCGGTGTGTCTTGATTTCCTACCAATACTACTACTACTACCACTTCTAATTTATCTCAAAAATAAATAAAAAAAATGCTTTAATTCAAATCTAATACATGATTTACGCTGCAATCGGTTTAAATCCCCTTCTCCCATGCCTTCTCCCACTACTCACTACTCACTACTCACTACTCACTACTCACGTGCTATGTACTATGTACTATGTAGTACCAGTCCTGCCCATGACGCTGCCGACGATGCTCATGCTCATGCTCATGTTCATGTTCATGTTACTGATATGATATCACGCCATGGCCTGTTCCTTCCTTCCCTCCCTTCCTCCCTTCCTCCCCTCCTCTCTCACTCCTCTTCTCTCTCTCTCTCTTATTTTCGTGTGGGAAGTGGGTGGGGACTACGAATACAACATACAGTACGTAACACGAATTTTAGTATTTTATGTTATGCTGCGCGTTGTTCTGATTAAGCGCGGGGGATGTACGTACATGTACATGTATACATATAAAGTTACGAAAGCACATCTCCCCACCCCCCCCCCACCCCCGGCTCCATCACCCCCGGCTCCATCACCCCTGCTCCATACTTACCGTCCCGTTCCACATGTCACGCGGGCTTTGGAAAAAAAGATAAAATGCGGGAGATGGGTCACGCGGTGTACGGTATTTGTGATCCCCCACCCTGTCTCCTTCCCTCCCCCCCACTCCCGCGTTTGGATTCGTTTGTGCTGTGTGCTTTGTGCTTGGTGGTGTATTTGGTGGGTTGGTGTCTGGTATTTTGTGGTGTTGCTGAGTGCGGATATGGATGCCGGGATGCGGACACGGATGCGGGATGTAAATAGTGGGTTGGGGGTTGCGGCTACGGTTAGGGCTAAGTACGGCTAAGGGCTAAGGGCTAAGTAGGGTGATGTCATGCCATGTCATGTGATGGGAAACGAAACGAAACGAATCGAAACTAAGTACGTAGATGACTAGCTGGGCTAACTACAGTACGTAGGTTTGTGTGAATGGACACGTAGAGATGGAGAGCGATGTGTATGGATGGATGGATGGATGGATGGATGGATGGATTGATAGAAAGATAGATGTGTAGAGGCATGGCTAAGGATAAGGGCTGAAGATGGAGTTCTCCATGCGCAGTAAGGCAGGGATATGTATGTAGATGCATGCATGTTGCATGTTGCATGTTGCATGTGTATCTGTTGGCCATGGTGATGGCGATGGCGATGGCGATGGAGAGGAGAGAGGATCTTACTGCTAGAGCGTAGTATAATTATTTTTCAACAGTAAGACTAGAGTGCGGAGTTTAAATTGGAATGCGAATATCGCGAGATAGATGCGGGTCTGAGAGTGGAAGATGTGGGGGAATGATGCTTGTGTGGCGTTTTTGGGTGAGGTTTACGCTGTTAGATGGCAAGAGGAGGGCTGGAATGTGCAAAGGCATGGTTTGTTCTGTATTGTGTATTCCAGTTGTGAAATCTACTATATTAACATATTAAAACCACTCGTACAACAACTGCATAGCAAGTTTCACAACTACAATACATAAAAGACACCCTATTCATATACCATAAATACGCATTGAAAATACTAGACGCTACTAATACAACACCACAAACTGCAAAATCAACTATAACTCCCCGCCGCCCAACTCCCCCTACTCTCACGCGACCCCCGGCCCTCCCACGAAATGGTGACTTGGTTCGGACTCCCCTTCTCGCCCTCGGTGTAATCATAGCGGATGCGTTTCCAGCGCAAACTGCGATAGTCTTTGATTTCCTCGCCGCTCATGTTGAGCCCGGGCTCGGCGATCTTGGCCACGACAGGCCGCAGCAGCATGGCCATGCTGAAGTAGCTGTCGTCGCGCACGATGGTGCGGTTGGCGAAGAGCACGAGGAGAATCAGTGCGAGCAGCTGGATCAGGCAGATGCCGCCTAGGATCCCGAAGACGTACGGCCACTCGACGTCGAGTTGCTGGCCTTGCGATGGCACGCTCGACTGGCCGTGTACGCTGTACTTGATGCCGTGGTCGTCGAAGGCGGCAACGGCGCCGATTGTAAAGCGCATGAGGAGATCTTGGATTGCGGGTGCGTCGAGGTTGCGTGCGGGCGACCACTTGGAGCCCTGGCTGTAGGACCGCGCTTGTCGGTCGTACCACTCGTTCCACGGGATGCCCGTCCAGCCGATGGCGCCGGCGGCGGTGCGGGCAAAGGCGTCGGTGCCGTAGACGGCGGCGCAGTCGGCGCCTGTGCGGGGAGAAATGTCGTGGTTGGCCGTGGCCTGCGAGACGTCGCTCAGCGTGCTGTTGCATAGGAAGAGGGCGGTGGTGGTGACGCGGTCGCCCTGGTACTGTAGCACCGTGAGATTGGTGCAGCGCGGGCCGCAGTGGTCGGCGACAGACACCATCCAGCTTACGGAGCCTGGAGCGGCTTCCATGAGGTAGTAGGGGGTGTAGTTTTGCTCCGTGGGGCGGCGGGCGTTGACGTAAAGGGGGAGGTCGGCCTCGTTCCAGACAGTGCCGTTGTCGCCGACTTCGAGCTGCTCGCAGGATGCTTGGGCTGTGACTTGGCGGGAGCTGCTGAGATAATTTGTGTAGGGGCGGGCGGGGTCGCGGTTGAAGAAGCGGTATTGGTATGTGTCGTTGGACTTGTAGATGGGGGTGCCGGGGAGGCTGGAGAGATCGGTCTGAATGTTGTCGAGGTTGAAAACGGGATACGCCATGGCTTCTGTGCCAAAGGTCCATGCTGCCTCGAGCGACGACTGGTTGGCCAGCGTGTACATGTCGGTTTCGGGCGGGTGCTCGTCGACATGCCAGGTGTTGAGGTTGGCGACACTGACGCTCCCGGGGACGAAAAGCGGAATGTCCGAGTTGTTCATGGGCCAGAACAAGCTGAGGAGGGCGACGAGGATCTGCGAACCAATGTTGATGCTGAGCCAGACAAGACACGCCAGCCACATCCACTTTGTGCCGTCGTCGCGGACGTCTTTGAACCAGCGGAACCGCCGAAGCCATGTCTTGCCGCGCAGGCCGGGCATGGAGATGAGCATGAGCTTTGTGACCTTGGCGAGCGAGCCAAAGTGAAGAATCAGATCAAACACCTCGAGGCTGACATAGCGCCGCGCGAGAAACGACCATCGAAAGAACGAGGCGTAGTGCTTGAGTGACGCGAGCAGGTTGAGACCAAGACACAGCGAGAGACCAATGGTGAGCGAGTTGAAGATTCGAACGTCCGTCTTGGACAGCACAATGGGATCCTTGAAGCCCTCCCATCCCCTGAGCGTCAGACACATTACTGCGCTGAAGAAGAAGGTGATGAGCAGTCTCCTCGCACCCGTCACCATGAGCTGTTTCCTAGCCTCGTTGTGATTGAAGTGCTTGGCGTGGTGAGGATGGCGCCGTTTTTCGTGCTTGATTCCGTCTTCCACGTCGAGTGTCGAGCTGCTTAGTTGTGCGTATATGCCGCCTTTGGTTTCGATCATCTCGGGAGACGTGACCATGGGTGGTGGGTATAGCTGGTGGTCGATTTGCTGCATGGCGACATCCCCGCTGTCATATCTTGTTGCGACGGGGCTGATTAACGGTGCATTGTCGTCGTGTATGCTGTTTATCGTCCGACTGCGCTCCATCTCTTGAAGGATAGATGAGCTTGACGCTCAACTTGGTATCAAATTTATCTAATCTATCCAGTCTTGCCAGTCGATTCCGTCTATCCAAGTATGAATCCACAAGTTGCTGTTGCGCAAAGCTCAGCCTCGTAAGTTGTAAAGACTGTAAATATCTATGTTGATACCGGAGGCGTTTGTGGGTATGAGGCTAGCGTGCGGAAATGAAGAGTACGGCGCGCTGGAACCTCTGCTCAAGTCGAGAGCTGTCAGCGTGAGGCAGAGCAGCAACTGCGGCGAGCGGTGATTTAACATAGACAGACACTCTTATCGCCTGGTTGTCGCGCTACACAACATCGCGTGGCGAGCTAGGCAAGATATTGGGGGCTGAAAAGCGGGTGGCCTCAATAGGCGCACGCGTAAGGCTCTCCGCGTCGTGGGGAGGCGGCTGAGCAGCTTCAAATGTGCACGATGAGCGAGACCAGAGATGTCCAAATGCACACAGACATAATAATAGTAAGCTGCAAGTATTCTAACGACTGCAGCCATCTTCTCGCACAACTACGGTACTTCAGCCTGCCCCTCTGTACGACAAGTTACAGCCCGCACATGTCGTGCAGGCTGAGCCCCATGCCAACGAGCAAACCGTGGATCTGGGATTGTTATTGTTAGAATCTGTAATCTGGCGGCGCGCGGTGATTTGTCCAGGTGGATGGCATCGCAAGCCCATGGGCAGTGTCCAAGCCACGCCAAGAGAAGTGTTTGGGGGCTGAAATACCCGCTTCGAGCGTGCATGATGTGCCGGCGGGAAGTAGCATAGTTTGGAAAAGCTTGTCGGATGGTCCATGCTGTGCATATCGGTATCATGAAGACGTGTGTCGAGGCGTCGATTGGATAAGCGGTCGTGGTACGCAGTGTGGCAGTAAAGGGGCTACAGCACTGAATTTCTGGCCGTGGAGGTGCGAAGGAAGAAGAAATTTGCCGACGTGCAGGCAAGTATTGCCTGGATCGATAGCACTACACGGAGTGTGACGCTGCTAGAGAGATGTCCTTGCTGCATTTACCCCACCGAATGATGGAGTGGATTTGGCAATCGAGGGTGAGGATGCCTGGATGCCTGTAGGATGTTTGGGTCACGTGCGCTCGGCCACCTGCACATATTCAGCCTATACATGGAGAACCTCTGTCTTGCCCACTGCACGACGCTCAATTCATACGTGTTTTTGAGCGGGCCACGCAAATATCAGGCAGCAGCGACATATCTGATTAGCTAGTTTAACAGGTCCCCACATTGTACCCAGCACTAGATGACAAATGGACTGTGGAGCACATACGACGAAGGGCGTGATGCTGGACTACTTAAAACCCCATTTCCTTGCATCTGCCTCTAAAGACTAATCTCTATACCCAATCCATCATGTCGTCCAACAAAGTCGTGCTCTATGACCTTCCCAGTAAACAGGGCGTCTCGTGGTCCTTGAACCCGTGGAAGAGTACGTCGTGTCTCTGCATGCATTGCAACTGTACTAACAAGTACAAGCTCGCATGGTTCTCAACTTCAAGAAGATTGACTACGAAACCGACTGGGTCGAGTACCCTGACCTAGCTCCCCGATGGAAAGCTCTCGGCATCCCTCCCAATGACAAAAATGACCCAGGCTACTTTGCCGATTACAGCAGCCCTGTCATCAGATATGCCGACGGAAGCTACCAGATGGACTCGTGGCTCATTGCCCATGCGCTCGAGAAGCAATACCCGACTCCTTCTCTGCACCTCGACGATCCCGTTGTGCTGCAGATTCGGGATCACGTCGCAGCCATGACGAAGCCGCTTGTTCCATTGGCTATTTCCCAGGTGCCCGTGGTGCTGCTGAACAAGCCGAGCGCAGACTTCTTCTACGAGACGAGAGAGAAGGCGTTTGGCAAGCCGTTGGAGCAGGTGCGCAGCGAGGCCGACGAGGAAAAGTGCTGGGAAGAAGCCGCAGCTGCAGCCAAAGTGACGGGAGACTTGCTGCGCAAGAACGGAGGTCCGTTTTTCCTAGGTGAAACGGGTAAGTTGGCACGATTCGTATACGCAGAGTGACGTTGAGTCTAACCAACAGGCAGTGTCGTATGCCGACTTTATCTTTGTGTCGATGGTGCACTTCCTCAGGTGCATCGATGAGAAGATATTCCAGAGATATGTGGCGCTCGACGAGACATTCCCCAAGGTCTACGCTGCGTGTGAGCAGTGGTTGGGGAAGAAGGATTAAGTAGTCGCGAAATGTTGGTTGAGTACGGAGCACTTTACACGATGGAACATATTCTGGTAACGCCAAATATCAGATGTATTTCATATATGCTCGCTGCGAAGAAACAATGGGACATCAGTCCTCTCCAAGAGGTACACAAAATTGCACACCTTTGGTCTATGCGTTACAGAATCGCCCCTCATGTCGTCCTGCATTGGCAGTTCGACGTCGTCGACCTCGCGGCGTTCCACCAAGCGCCATAGGTCAGCAGGATGCGGGAACGCTACATTTCTAGGCACCGCATCCGACGACGGATCAAGACAGTCAAACCGCTCTCTAGAGTATGACAAGGCTATCCAGCGGGCGCGCGGCCTCGTCACGAGCGCCAAGTTGACCATCATAACCACTAATGGGTGTATGGGGTCGTGGGGTGCAGTAGAGTCCAAATCAGCAGTGGCATAGGAACGAATGGCTGCGGGGTACGGCAAGGGGACATGGATGTCTTGGGAGCAAGCAATAGCGTCCGACGTCGACTTGTCGACTACAACAGAGTACGAGGATCGCTTGCACACACGCAGCAGGGACTTGTGTTCCAGCAGATCGACCGTGTCCCAACGCATACAAGGCAGATCCGCCGCCCTGGCATTCGGCCCACGCTTGCTTTCACACTGGTAAATCTCCTCTTCACGCGCCTTGCCGATCTGTATGGCAACGTCCGAGTAGTCCAAATTATGTACCTGACCCGGGCGGTCTACGTGCGAACGCAAATGGAAAGACAGTAACGATGTTCCGCAGCCTATGTGCAGCAACTCAGGCTTGGCTACGTGACAGGTGTCCAGGACACTGGCAAGGTAGGGGTCCAGGGCGTTGGGTTCTTCGAGCCAGTCAAAGGGGTCGGCGTTGGTGGTGAAGCGGTCATCCCAGTATTCCTGGGAGCCAAAAGAGGGTGGTTGTTTGAAGGGCATTGTGGTCTGGCGGGGAATCGGGCGCCAGAACTGCTCCTGGGGTCAGTCGCCAGCGACCGTGGACAGCTCAATATATAGGACAAAAGGCGCCGTGCAAAAAATTAAAGCTTGGCGGTGTGAGTGTCGAGCGCCTGTGCCTGCAGGAGAGGTATGGGTACCAGCACGATACGCGCCCGGCCCGAGCTTTCTCCGCGCATCGAAGATCTTTGGGCCCACGACTCTGCGGACTTCCGAGACGGCCAATATCAATATCACCACCACCACCGCCACACTCACGCCCACATGCTGTAATGGCAGCCCTCCAGTCGATACCACGCTTCCTTGTCCCGCGGGGGCCTCTCCTCGTGCGTCCACAGCCTCGCGGGCTCCTCCAGCTGCCCGCGCCCGCGCCCCACCGCCGCCATGCCTCGTCCATTACCCCAAAAGGCCTGTCAGAGGAATTCCGGCGGCGACGAGAAGCCCAGCAGAGCAGAGGGACGCCCGTGATACCCCAGCCCGACCAGTACCGGCCGCCGTCCCACAGCAAGCGCGCCCCCAACCGGCAATTGGAGAACCGCGTCTACGGAGCGCCCTTGTCGGAAGAAGACCGCAAGCGCATGGCGACGAAGAAATATCCAAACATGATGAGTCCCGAGGGCACCTTTTCGCATTGGTTCTTGCACAACCGCGCCATCCACCTGTGGATCACAATGGTACATGCTCGCAGCAGCCGCCCTCGCCCCCAAGAAACACCCGGCTAACCCCACCAACCCCCGCAGGGCATCCTCGTGTCGCTTGCTGTAGCAGCATGGTACATGGACTTTATCTCCAAGACGGTCTTCGCACACCTCCTGCCCACGCGCAAGGACTTTGTACACCACCCGATTGAATCGACGTCGCGCTTCATCGACGTGTACAAGATGCACATAGAACACACGTCGCAGGAGTACCAGCAGCAGCGCCTGAAGAAGGCCGAGGAGATTGAGAAGAGGAAGCAGTACAGGCTGGAGAGGCAGCGCAAGGCCGAGGAGAGGGGCGAGGAGTATGTCGAGGACCCCAGGTATTACATTGGGGAGGACGGCATCCGAAGGAGGAGGGTGAAGAGGTGGTTTGGAATCTGGGAGTGAGTGCCATGCTTGCCATGCTTGCCATGTCTTCTGGCACGGCATGAATGCGTCAACTTGAGTGGTGGTGGAGCACTGCGCCGCGTCAGTGGCTGAGGAGGGGGATATAGTGTCGTACCGATACGAGACAAGAGTGGCTGAAACAGTCGACACAGCGTCGAATTGCAGTTGGTGAGTAAACCATGAGCAGCTCCATATCGGGCCATGTACATTAAGCCATGTACATTAAGCCATGTAAGATATTGATATCACGCCAATGGGTCCGAATGCAGAAGCTGGATTAAACACTATCTATGCTCGCCCAAGAATAGCATCACCTCTGGTCCTCATCACCCCCCCCCTCCAACCAATCCACCTCTCATCCCCCGGCCCCATGCCCCTTTCCACGCCCTCTATCCCACACAACCCCTCTACGTCATCCGGTACCTTCCACCCCCTCATGGCCTCGACGCCCGTCGCAAAAACCATCATCAGCCCCGCCTCGGTATGCCACCCAATATGGCAATGAAACGCCCACACACCAGGGTTATCCGCCACAAAACTAATCAGCAGCCACCCATACGCCTCGACGCTCGCCGTATCTCTGCGCAGCGGATTCTCCAGGCTAAAATGCTCCTTCTGCGTCGAATCTCGCTCCAGCAACGATGCAGGCGGGTATCCGTGTCCCTGGTCCAAGACAAAGAACTTGTATCCATGCAGATGGAACGGGTGGGTTCCGTCATCCAGGTTCTGGATCAGCACCGTGATGACTGTATCCGTACTTGCCGTCTGGTATGTCAGCTGGGGACCGGGGGCAATGAGCGGCGTGTCCAGGATACCGTTGCCAGCACCGGTATGGAGGAGCTCGGCAGATGACGAGCCAGGGGACTCCAGTGCTGGTGATGGCGGCTGGGAAAGCAGCGTGTGCAGAAGCGGCAGCGAGCCGTTTATGCGAAACGAGCTCTCGTTTAGATAGCCCCGTGCGAGGCGCCAGTCGCGGATTTGGAACGACGACCGCAGATGCAGCGTGTGCTGAAAATTGATTGCCGGGGCAGCCATAGCGACGACGGGCGAGAGCTGCGAGGTGTTTAGGTCACGGCATTCCACGTCGATGATGTCAGGCCAGTCTTTGCTGTCTGGTACTAATTGCGAGTTTTCTTCTGTTCTGGAGGCTTCGCGCGAGCGACGAGGAGAATGGTACGACAGCACGCCGCGGACTTCTTCTTGCAGCTCGGGCTCCTCGTACGCAAAGCAGTGCGTGATCATCCTCGCGCGGATCCAATACAAGCCCTTGTTTTCCGCGTCCTTGGGCGGCGAAACAACAATGCTGTAGCGCTGCGCGGGATTGATATTCAGGCGATGGATGCTCTGCGGTGCGACATCTGTGCCATCGACTTCAGTGACTAGGACCTCGTGCTCGTCGATTTGCAGGGCGAACTCTGCGAAGGCGCCGACGTTGATGACGCGGAGTCTTGTGTTGGTTTCCCAGGACAGGCTAAACAGGGCGTTGCTGAGCTGCGACGAGTCGCAGTGGCGAGACGGCAGGGCCGAGCAGTTGCGTACGTTACGCCCGTTTATCAGGGCTGAAGGCGGGACCGGCTCGTCGTTTTCGCTGCCGGGCGCGAGATAGCGGACGAGCAGGCTGGAAGAGAGGTCGTAGTAGTGGTCGGAGAGCATGACTACGCGATCCTGCTCGTACGGCACTTTCTGCAGCGCACCCTTTTCTTGGTCGGGGCCCCGAGCGTGGATGATGAGGGGGCCCACGAGCCCGTCTGACGCTTGCATGCTCATGTGCGAATGGTACCAGTATGTTCCTGTTTGGCCGGCGACGCGGAACCGGTATGTGAAGCTGTGGCCGGGGGCAATGGGACATTGGGTTATGCCGACTGTGCCGTCCATCCAGTTTGTCCCGTTTTGGTACAGGCCATGCCAGTGGATCGATGTTGCGTTTATCGCGTGGTTGTGGACATGCACAATGAGTTCGTCGCCTTGGTTGCATTCTATCATGGGGCCGGGGAACGTGCCGTTGATGAGTATCATGGGGCGGTAGACGCCATCAGGGTTGAGCTTGTGGTCGGATATAATCCATGTGTACTCGCGAGTTGTGGGCGGCGCGTTGAAGTCCCATGATGGAGAGAGGATGTAGTCTTCTTCTGGCCGTAGACGTGCTGGACTCGGTGTTGTAGTGGACGTCTGAGGTTTGCCTCGACTTACTAGGGCTTGGCGTGCTAGAAGAAAGAGTGTGCAGGACAGGAGGAGGGCAACGAAGATGGCCTTGATCCAGTACTGCCGCGGTTTATGATGTTGTGCGGCTTCAGTCTTGTCGCTCCAACGCGGCTCTGAAACCCCATCATTATTCGAGCCATGCAGCAACCCAACCTGCTCTTCCCGATGCGGTGAAGCCGTGTCGGACAAGTCTTCCAAGTCGAAGCTCTGTCCGCGGCCCATTGCGGCAAATTCGCGGCCTCCTGGCTCCAAAAGAGATGGGATGGGAGACGAGTCCGGTAAAGTGTAATCTGGCAACGACCAGCGCTGCTCAAATTAGAGGCTGCATCGTCGGGGTAGATGGTCAAAGAAGACCCTCTTTCTGGTTGTCGCAAAGTCGCAGAGTCGATGAAAAGCCTCGCCACCTCCTCGGACGACGCGCATGAGGCGCAACGATGATCGCTCGCATGCGTCTAAGCTATCGCCCATGAGGCATGTCATCCTCTAGCTCTTGGCCGCAACGCGCATCCGCCGACTCGTCCAGTCCAATCAGCCCCGCACGTTCAGAACCCGTCACCTCCAAAGCTTGTCGACCTTCCTAAAAAGCTTGGCCTTGTGTATCCAGCCTCCGAGCCGCTGATTTAGTCCTCTGCCACGGGTCTATTGCCAACTTTCTGATTCGCTGGCATTAATTACCATGTAGAGCCTTCGCGGATAGGCATAGTTTGTGCACAGAGGCCCCGGCGCGAGTGGCTCGGGGCTACCAGTGCAGCAAAAAAAGGACAGGAAGAAAAGGCATGGCGATGTCTGCATTCCCCTCGCTATCCGGGTGTTGTCCTTTCATTTTTTTCCTCTTCTCTTGGTGGCATTCCCTGGTAAGAGCGGTGTTCAAAAGACGACAAGAGCAGGATCAACTAACGATCGGCAGACTTGCTTTCGCCATGAGAACTCCACTCGTTTTTTCGCTAGCGTTTCTGGCAACTCTAAGCCCGGTGTCAGGCGATACAAAAGTCAAGGGCAAGGCATTTGATCGCATAGTCATCATCTGGCTTGAAAACACAGACTATGATCTCGCAGCCGGCGACCCAAACCTAGCATGGCTCGCCAAAAAGGGCCTCAGCCTGACAAACTACTTCGCCGTCACGCATCCTTCCATGCCCAACTATGCAGCCTCCATATCCGGCGACTACTACGGCATCAACCACGATGACATGACCGCTATTCCCTCCAATGTCTCCACGCTGGTTGACTTGCTTGAAGACAAAGGCATCAGCTGGGGCGAGTACCAGGAAGACATGCCATCTGTTGGTTTCCAAGGCAAAGCATACCCGAACCCCAAGACAGGCGCGAACATGTATGTGAGAAAGCACAACCCAGCCGTCTTGTACGACTCGGTAGCGCAGAGCAAGGACCGGCTTGAAAAGATCAAGCCCTTGACCATGTTCAAAGACGACTTGGAGCAGGAAAAACTGCCACAGTGGATGTTCATCACGCCCAACATGACCAGCGATGGTAAGCAATACAGACATGTTGTTGTTTTTCATTGAACACTGACAATCGTGCAGGCCACGACTCGACCGTAACGGTAGCAGGATCCTGGACGCGCAAGTTTGTCGAGCCCCTTTTGACCAACAAGAAGTTTATGCAAAACACCCTTGTCATGATCACGTTTGATGAAAACCACAGCTACGGCAAGCAGAACCGCATCGTCGCCATCCTGCTTGGCGACGCTCTCCCCGCAAACCTAGTCGGCGCAAGCGACGACACCTACTACAACCACTACAGCGAGCTCTCCACGGTGCAAGCCAACTGGGGCCTCCACACACTGGGCCGCTGGGACGTCGGCGCCAACGTCTTCAAGTTTGTTGCGGAGAAAACCGGCGACTGCGTGCGAGAATGGACTGGAAAAGTTCCCCTGAGCAACATGTACTTCAACGCGTCATATGCGGGTAAGCTGAGCCAGAAAAACACATCGGTGCCCTGGCCGGTACCCAACACAAATGCCGTTTATGCAGGACGAAGTGTTCTCCCGGCAATCAAGTCGACATGGGGGAAGTTTGTCGATCAGTCGGCCTACACGACTGCGCTTGAGATTCCAGATGGCATGCATCCCGAGGCTGAGTTCAAGTAATTGGATATTTGATCTACATATATGCAAATAAGGGGGTTTGTTTCTGTAAATAAAGATCTTTTTACGGTACTACAGTACATAAGAACCTGTGTTACTGGCGAAATACCAAACTCCCCATGTCCTACGTCTTCCGACGCAACACCGCACCCACGACCTGTATTCTGCACACATCAGCATATGCACCCTTTCCTATCTCTTCGGGCCACATGTCTGGATGTAGGATCGAGTATTCGAGCAGCTCGCAGTCATTGACGTGTTTCAGTTTCTCCAAGAAGGCGTCTTGCCCGGGATCCGCCGTCGGTATCGCCACGCCCGTATACACGACTATGACTCCAGTTGGTGACAAGAGGTCCATCCCTTCCTCAACAATACGTATTGATATGTCCAGGCCAAATCCAGCGCCGCCATCGGCGTAGATGGGGAGATCCTCGCCGTCGACGCTAGAGGCAATGTATGGCGGATTGCTCACAATGAGATCAACACCATGTGCTTTCATCTCCTTAGGTAACATAGCATACAGATTTGACTCTGCAAAAGCGACTTTTACTTCTGCTAGATGTGCGTTGACACCGCCCAAGCCCAATGCATGGGGATTTAGATCTAGGCCCGCCACCTTTGCCCGAGGGTACCTTCTTGCCATGTGTATTGCGCCAGCACCAGACCCGCAGCACACATCTACTACCGACCTCGGTGCTTGCGGTAGATGGCGCGGTATGGTTTGTAGGAACGACACAAAGAGGTATGTGTCTGGGCCGAAGAAGACGGAATCCGAGGATGCGGGGAAAGAAGAGTGGATGTAGTAGAGCGAAGTGGTGGCGGGATCGCGACTCAAGGGGTTGGGTAGATAGAAATTCGACACGCGGATGGTGGAGCGGTAATCCGTGGCATTGTCCTGGATGATGGCTGATACTCTGCACAGACTTTCAAATACAGCATCTGGTAGTATCGACTTGAGTGTTTCTCTAAGAGTAATTTAGCATGATGCGGAATGCCGTCAATGTGTATGCATCAAGCTCACCGTGTGCAAGGTAAGTTCCATCCAAAGAAATCGTATGCGTTCTGTGCGTGCTCCGTCGACGCATTTGAACGTCTTTTTTCTACCACCCTGCCCTGCGTCTCTGGGGAAGGGCACACAAATGCATAGTTTGATTTTGCCAAATGCTGCGTGAGGGCTTGGTAAGTGCCAAGGTCGGTCATTGTCAGGATTACTTAGAGTACCGCCAGCGGCCTTCCGAGGGGGACTTGATAACACAACGTGTGCGTGGATGCAGACATGACAGCTAGAACCACCAAATGATTGGAATGAATGGCCCGCGGAACATAGCACGGCTCAATGTGACGTTGTTGTTGTTGTCATTGGACGTAGTACGAGGCATTGTTCTGTCATGTTGGCGTCTTGGCCCACGAACAAAACATGTCATCTAAATAATGGATACCGCACTCGGTAAAGTCTGCGACCACGACAGAATGCCAATGCAAGGAACGTGTGACCCTTAGCATCTCGCATGAGGGATTTTCGGCCTAGAACAAGAATACGGTATGTTTGAATAAACCCAAACCGCATGGTTGACATGGAGCACATGTCTGACGTCTTGCGGGGTGCATGGCGGCTAACCGCATTTCGTCTAGCCTACCGTTTTTGGCATTAGCCATGGGATTGACAGAGCGGATACTACCTAAACATACACCGTCACTATTGTCAGCATGATTTGTACGTCGCGTTTGCCTTGATGGATCCCTCGCCACATGCACGTCAAGTCGGAACAAAACCACGGCACTCCCCAATGGCTCGTGTAAAGGTTCATCTGTACTTGCACGAATTGCCAAGCACGACACCAACACACCATGTATATTCTCCAGACAACAACGGCAGTGCTGATAGCATTCCTTGCTATCATTGCGTATAGCAAAGTGCGAAATCGTCTAGCGAGGGCCTGGCCCAAGGAGAAAGACTTGGAAACACTACACAATTCGACTGGAGTCCCGATTACAGATGCCAAGCTGCCGATTCAGGATACCGAGTGCAAAGATGCTTCTGGTTCCGGTGAAGCCGATGTTGCCGAGAAAGAGCTGGCGACACTGAAGCAGCTCTACTATAAGCTGCACAATCTGGAACGCTATCCCGAAGTCCTCCCCGAGTGTCGCCAACTGCTTTTGGCCTTGCTTTCTTCAACTATTGCCGACGCAATTAGAGAGCCGGAAAATACGATTCTATCTGTCGAACACTTTTCACTGGACGATTTGAAACATTTTCTCAAAGCCAAAGACATCAATGTCACCAATCAGTGGGAGGAATACCTTGCTCGCCGGCGGGCTGGAGGGCCACGTGAAATGTTTGGCGATAAAGAAGAAGCCAAATGGTGGCTCAAGCAGGCTGCTCCAGTCAAATACGTCGATGGGGCATGGCTGGGACATATCAACAAGATCAGCACGACATTCAAGTATCGTCCGATTACCAAAAACGCGTGGCAAGTCATGTCTGAAGAGCTGGGAGACGGCGACGTAGCAAAGAACCACGTAAAAGTCTATCAGGATCTCATGGACGACATTGACGCGAGGCTGCCTGCAGCCGACACGGAAGATTTCATTCACCCACGGCACGGTTTATCCGAAGTGCGGTGCTGGAAAGCGGCTCTAGCCCAACTCACCGTGTCCCTGTTTCCGCACGACTTTTTCCCGGAAGCCCTGGGCTTCAACATGGCCTACGAGAGCCTGCCTTTGCACCTGCTCAAGACGGTCAAGGAGCTGCGTGAACTGCGCTTGAACCCCTATTACTTTGAGCTGCACATTTCCATTGACAACTCGGACTCTGGCCATGCGGCAATGGCCATGGCGGCAGTGGCTAATTACCTGCGTTTGATTGAGGCAGACGAGGGCGGCGAGGCTGCGCAAATTGCATGGAAACGCGTACAAGCTGGCTACATTCTTGCTGAGGGCTTGCCCACAACACCCGAGAGTCCGTCGTTGAAGCCAAAAACCCCTGAGCGATTTCCTCGCACCGAAACAGAAGCCCAACTCATCGCCATCTTCGCGGCAAAGAGCTCTGTCGCCCACAAAATTCATTGCAACAGCCGCTTGCGAATCGGGCGCCGCTCTCTGGTCGACTGGCTGGAGCCCCGTGCCTTTGAAGCCGCGCAATGGCAGCGCGAATTCCTCGACGACCTCAGCAACTGCAAGCCGTGGGTGGTGCGCGGACGTAGCTCCCAAAGCCGGTTGATCAGCGAGTTGTCGTGGGAAGGCAAGATGTTCGGCAGCTTCACCGAAAAAGAAGTGGGTATCGTGAGCGCCTGGATCGACGAGCTGAGTCACGACGCCGCCACTGTTCCAGACCACGCAAAACTCGTCGCACAACAACAACAACAACAACAACAACAACAACAACAACCACAACCACAGAAGCAATTGGCATACTGGCAATTCACCGGCCAAATTTCCGTCTCCCCCCACAGTCTCCTCCACGACGCCTACGCCTTCCAGCAAGATTGGTGCCGTGCCCGCTCCGGCCGCGGCCTTGACCTGCTTACCCACTATCCGGTTCTCTGTACCCACCCCCCTGAGCCCGCCGCGGCACGTTGTGTGCGCCGCGAATCAAACGATCTCAGGATCGGCAGCGATGCGAAGACGCTTGATGTTAGTGCCAGCAGTAGTGGGGTGTATGTAGCCAACCTCCTGCCCCTATGGTTCGCATCGCCGGCGCTTCTGGAAGCACTACCTGCAGTGCCAGTGCGAGCCGCGACCAGCTTTGGGTCTGCGGTTGTGCGCGTGGTTCGCGCCCAATGTGGCTTCAGCGCCGAGGGCACGGGGGTCGCGGGCATGGACGAGGTCCACAGGACTGATAACGGCCTCGCTATTGGCATCGTCGAGCTTGGACTGGAAATGTGCCGTTCCGCTGGCGTAGACCGCCCGTCTAATTTGAGGGGCGCTGTGGCGGCCTTTGGCGAGCATACCGAGTCTTTTCTATTTTCAGAAAATATGCTTTGGCGAGCCATGCGGTGGCGCGCGCATCGTGACTTGCTCGTCGGCATGGCGTGGGCCTTCATGGAGCTGCATCTAGTTCTGGCGCAGAGTGAGGGATGTGCTGGGCAATTGCTGTCTGTCCAAAGCCGACGCATCTTACAGGCCATTGCACTTCGAGAGAGAGCCGGGCTGGAGGTATGCAAGCTCGAGATATACGGTGATGAACAGCGCAAGGCGGATTTCTCTCAGGGGTTAGCACAAGCTCGAAGAGCCATTCAAGCATGTTTTGTAACACAATAGGCATAGAATAATGTACTTCACTCGAAAGGCAGATGTGGATGCAGAGACAAAAGTTCAGGCAAGGGACATCCACAAGTGATGCCCCCCAAGATAAGATTCAAGACTATACAGCGAATTCAAAAAAAAGGAAAAACTACCACAAACCCGTCCTATTTACACTCTCGAAACTCAAAAATATGTATTTACAGAGAAAACCCTGCCAGAAGGTTGTTAAAAAAAAGACTTTTTGGGTGTTTTTTTACTTCTTGAGGGTGAGGAGACCGGGCCTGTAGGGAAGGCGGTCGTAGTCGCCGCCGGCGCTGGGGTTGCGGCCCTGGTACAACAGCTGCAGGTTGCAAGGGTCGACGGTCATGGTCTGGTCGTTGGTGACCTTGACCAAGTCTCCGTGGGAGATGTCGTTGGTCCAGGTGGCACCGCTGTTGGCCTTGCCGGCGAAGGGGTTGCTCTCGGTGGCAGCGTTGGGAGTCCAGCTGCCGTCGAGGCTCGAGGCAGTGAAAGAGCGGAAGTAGCGGCCTCCGCTGCCAACAGCCTCGACAATCATGAGGTAACCGCCGCCCTTGACAGTGTAGACCTGGACAGCCTCGAAGAGGTTGTTGGTCGAGTCGCTCATGACGACGGTTGAGGAAGAGCCGAAGTTGCCAGGGAAGTTTCCAATGGGCATGCTGGCGCGGTAGATCTTGCCGTTGTCACCAGCGAAGAAGAGGTACATGTTCTTGCTGTCACCAATGACGGTCTGGTCAATAGGACCAGTGCCGCTGCCAGAGATGGAGCCAGAGAAGAGAGGCCGGGCGGCGCCCCAGCCGTTGACGTTGCTGGGGTTGGACGAGGTCCTGTAGGAGAAGGCAGTGGGTCCCCACTGGTAGCAGAGAACCCAGATGCTCTTGGGAGCAAAGTAGAAGAGCGTAGGGGCAACGGCGTTGAAGCTCATGCCGTTCTGGGAAGCAGAAGCCATGGCGCTGAAGTCGCCAAAGGGGCTGAAGGCCATGGAGCCGTACTTGCTGCCGGTGTCGTGGTTGGTAGCGTAGACCATGTGCTGGCCGTTGTAGGTCGAGATGGTGAAGTCCTTGAGGTTAGCCCATCCGGACTTGGGCTGTGCAAGAGCACCGGACGAGGTCCATGAGTACTTGGTAGGCAGCTTGCAGCTCTGGGCCGAAGCAGTCGAAGCCAAGAGAGCGACGGCGGCCGCGGAGAAGCTGATGTCGGGAGTGAAACGCATGTTTGCTGGTTTGTGGGGTTTTTGTTTTTGCAAGTGAATGAATGTCTTGAGGTGGGAGTGTGATGGTTCTGTAACGAGGGGGCATCTATAAGGTACTTATACCTGAGGCGAATTCCATGGCAGGCTAACTGACGACCCGGCGCCCTGTACACGATACCCTGCACGCATGCCCACCTTGACCGCAAGGCTGCACGCAATGCCGTCGGCTTCGTAGATGTTCCGGGAGTGGAAATTGATCGCCCCCATCATGCATTTAGTTCGGGTATGGTATATTGTTCCGTTGCTGGGGATATATTAAATTACATGATGTTTCAGGGGAATTGGCGCACCTGCACGGACAGAAATGCTCCGCAGTGCGGGGAACAACCCTCGTAGGTGCTGCTTGGCTGCATCCCAAGTCGATTGTGTGCGCTTTGGGAAGCTTGATGCGGTGTGTATATGCTTAAATCCTCATGCAGGCATGTCGACGAGTGCCAATCCCACGGCCGGCCTTGGCATGTGGGTATCCCGACGTCGACCAGTCTTGACAGCGCTGTACGCGGCCACGTTTGTTTTGAAACGCGCATGCGACATATGCGACAACTAGGCGTGCGGTTGCGCTGATTGCTGTCCACGCAAATCTCGGCGGTATTCCCAAGTCGCGAGTGGCAACATGTACCACCGGGTGTTTATCAGCGCCCTGTGGGTTCTTGCCGGGGGCTAGTGCGTCCTAGGACAAGAGCAGGCGGTGGAGTTGGTTTGAAACACCCGGTGGCCGCAATCTAGAAGCAGGGGGGCGGCATGGCAGAGAAGTGCCACCAGTGGGAACGCTTGTTTGGAACCATCCCAAGAAATCAAACGGAAGCTTAGCATGTTTGAGGCGGCATTGCTTGTCATGTGGTGCATTGACCGGCTTGGAGAGAGATTGCCATCATGTCATCGACGTCGACGCCCTGGTCCCGTCCATCTCAGGCGGCTCTGCTGTAGCCGTAAGACTACAGCACGCGGCAGGCCGTCCAGCAGGCCAGTGGTAGTGCAGCAGCCGAAAAGGTCCCGTTCTCAGCCATGTCACTTACCCGCATGACAGCCCAGCCACCGAGCACACCGAGCGCTGCTCTGACCGACTCCGACCGGAATCCGTCTGGCGCGGAAAAATGTCGGGAGGGTGCGCTTCTAGATCGACTCGCGGAATTTCTTTGTCCGTACAAATTACCAGTGGCGGTGCCAAAAAGCGCCTGCATCGTGGCCAACACCATGGCCAAGGCTGATTAGAGCGTTGCCAATGTCTCTACCCTCTCCGGATGATCCCTGACCAAACAGAACGCTCGGCGGCCTTGGCTGGCTGGACTTGGGACTATGTGCAATCTTCATATCAGCCCTGTGACAAGTTTCAGGAATCCAAGAGTCTGTCGCTCTCAGCCACCTCTGAACAGTACGCTTTTTGACCAACGCACCTCCTTTACTATTTACCCTTCATCCTTGATGCTTGATGGTTGAACTGCTGAGTGCTTCCAGTTGCCCTCACGCAGAAATTCTGACAACCATTCAGTGGGTAAAGTGGGCGAGCGCTCGTATCCGTGTTGCTCCACCTCCAGCACATGCGGTCAAGAGTTTCACCGGCTGTGCTCTGCGCACCCCAGATTCTCACCAAGAAACCGAGACTACAGAATGAGAGTAGCTTGAAGAGACAGAGAGCTGTGCTGCTGTGTATCCCAGAGGTCGATGAGATGCCCCATGGGGGATTCTCGTATCTCTCATAGGCACGTGCGTGGATTTCGTCCGATTAGCTCACTGACGCAATGGGAGCTCTGACAGAGTATCTGGTGTATCTTCTCCCGTTTTGAGATTAGAAGCGTCACCGGCGTCAGTAATCTGTGCGGTAGACGGCGCGATTCCAGTAGTAGCTCTCTTCGATCTGAGGACATGGATACGTAGGTTGTTGGTGTCCAGCCGGATTGCGCGTATTATGGCATCTGGGCAAGACCAAAAGAGGCCAGATCGGCCATCCGAGCCCCGTTTATGGACCGAATCGGTTGTGGAGTGTGCAGATAAAGAATCGGGGAAGAATAGAGTTCAGAGTGTTTACTTGTAGAAAGCTTGTTTGTATGTTGTTGGTAACCAATGTAGTTGTACTACAGTACATGAGTCTACCCAAATAGACGCTAGATGGCACATACCTAAGCGAACACGTGCAAGTCAGCTTACTCAGCTCCTGTTGCGCCATCTGCACGTGTAAGCTGTTTATCTGTTCTATCGCTAGCAGAACATGCCACTGGATTAGCAGGCCCTTGAATTCTCTCAGCATGACTGCACTATACACGATACAAGGGAATGTCAGCGAGCACGTGACCATTTCGCTCCAACAACGCATATTCTCGCCCATGCTCAGCACTTGCGGCTAGAAACGGGTATTTCCATTTGCGCTTTTATAGGATCCCTCCAATAGCTGAACTGGCCCGGTGGAGAAGCGTTGATAAATCAGGCAAAAATCCGGATGCACTTTTCCTAGTGGTTGTGCTGGCGGCTGTATCCTCCCTACATCCAGGCTAAGTTGCCATGACACATTTTGCAACTACAAGACCTCGCGCACACATGTTGGGGCTGAAAAATCGCAATTCGCACGACCCGTTCTGAGGCTTCTTAGAGTTTTGCGCAGGACCTGCTACATTTCCATTGTTTTCTTGGCGCTGTCTATTCGGTCAGACTGCATCTTACTTGGTATCAAGATTTCCCCGAACCCTCGTCATCAGTGGTAAGCGGCGCCTTCTCGTACGACTCATGCGTTTGTAGGATAGCCTTATCGCTCCAGATAAAACCCGCAAAATTCCACAGAGATGGGACAACGGTGATGGCGATCGCTGCAAATGTCTAAGTATTTTTTTTTCGACTTGTGGGGCCATGGACGTACTGGCAGGTTGTTACTCTGCTACAAGGTAGCACTTGTTTCATGACAGGCCGAAATAGAAATCGTTTCATGCACAGACCTTACTCGGTCTCTCTCAGTGAATTTTAGTGTTCACCGTTTCACAGATACACGCCATCCTCACCCGAGCCCTGGGCTCCATCGCCGTTGCCGTCGTCCCTTGCCGCTCCGTTCGTTGCGACAGGTACGCTTCCATTGACCTTGCCTTCGTCTTCCTTTGGCTTCCAGGGAAGACCTCTTACGTCTCTCACTTCATTCTTGATTGCTTCTCTCCTCTCTTCGAACCGGATCATGACTTGCTTGTTCTCGAGCAGTGCCTCGTAGCAATCCTTGTCATCGTGCTCACGCGCAAACTCTTCCAGCTGCTGATTACTCGATTCGAGGTGTTTGATTTGGTTGGTGAGCTCCGAGTACTTGGCGTAAAGCGATTCAACAGACAGGTCTTCAAGCGCTTTAGAGAATCGCGTAAATGTGATGGGGGCCGCGTCGGCAGACATGACTGGTAGCAAGTCGAAAGGGCCGGTTCGATCGACGTATTTTTTTTGAGTTTGGGTGGCCCGCCGAGGATGATATGCGACCCGCGACGGTTGGCGCAAAGATGTGCAAGAGGAAAAACGCTGTTGTGGCGACAGGCAGGTAAAGCTAAGGTTGAAGCGTTCCTGCGTCGTGGCGGGGTAGCTGGCCGGGAATAGTTCGACCCCCGCTTCGCCTTACCACCTACGTCCGTCAAATATTGGTCGCCCTGGTAATAACAAACGGCGCCATCCGTCCCGACCGCACGCGACCGGGGTCGTCCCCCATGCGCTGCATTCAGCCGCATTCTCCAGAATATATTAGGACAAACTACAATTTTTCGCATCAAAAGGCACTTTGGCGGAGTGGTTAACGCGCTGGCCTGCTAGTCCCATGGGAAAGCCAGCCAGTTCCTTCGGGAGCGAGAGTTCGAATCTCTCAGGTGTCGCTTGAACCACTTTCTTTTTGCTGTTCAGCGCGGTTTGCTATGCATACTTTGTCATTCCGTACACGAAAACCTGATTATTTGTTTTTGGTTGGTTTTAACGGGATCAGCGCTTTTCACAGCGCGGTGGAACGTACAAGAGAAGATGGCAGCGGGGTACTATGACCTGTACCTTGTGCGCATAGCATACACTACAGACTTTTGCGGAAAGCTGGGGAGATATACTTGATCTCGTTCTACTTTATTATTCGCATTGTATACGACTATACGATTAGAAGGTATCGCTAGATAGCGTTGTACGAAGCAAAACAGTATGTTAACATTTTATTTTATTTCTTGTATCAGGATAAAGACGTACATTAAATAAGTTTTTGAATCCTTCACTGTGTATAAGAGGAAACTTTCCAATACTTACTAACATTCAACAAGCGAGGTGATGGTGCGGTGATTAAGCAGATCTAATCAGGTTTGGAATCTATTGCACCTAGTGAGAGTAATAGTTTTCCGTGATTGATAGAGAAGAAACACCAAACGTATTAATGTTTGATACTTTTGGAGGATAGGATAAGTGGTCCACCGGGCCTTACTTGTCTTGTGTCTAGAGCGATGAGAGATGTGGAAGTGATGAAATGTGTCCACCATCTCCATCTCTTCTACACCAACACTAAAAACATACTGCTGTATTCTCGTTTCCCCAACCAACCTACCTATTATTTCCACGTTGCTGTACCGCTAGAATTCTCTTTTCGTCATAATTCTAGTACCTTGGCAATGGCGCACCCATGACTCTACTACGACCATGCTAGTCCTAATAATGGTAGCTAAAAGTCTACACAGGTTAGGCAGTATGCGGAAACCAGGATATGCGCATCGCACAACGTAGGACTAAGGGAATACTCGAGGAGCATAAGTTGGTGGCCCATTGACTTACCAACGGAGACTACTAGAGATACCATTTACCTTTCTTCAGAGCAGAGGAGACTTGTTTAAAGCAGATCAACTATAACCTTATCATCATCATCATCATCATCATCATTATAGTTGAGATAAGGTGCAGAGTCTACACAGATATCCAAGAAGCGTAATCAATAGCGTTCATGAGTTTGCCGTCTCCATATCCATGGCCAGGAGATGCAAGCACTTGACACTGCGCGCGAGACGATGGAAACAACAGCACTGATATTTTTTTTATTTCCAGCGCGAATCCCGCTTCACGCTATGTAAATGCACAGTATACTCAATCCACGATGCTGGAAATATTTATCTGAGTCTCTAGACTATAACTGCTAGTGTTATGTATATATGTTTGTACAGTGTTAGAACTCTAAGCTTGTTGATAGCGGGGTACAGTCGCAGTGGCGTTTTAACTGGATGGGATATACATTGTTTACAGAACGGACATGGTAAATTGCCCACGGAAAGGTAGATGGATACTCAACAGTGTGTTTGTGGTTGTCGTGGACACGGATAGCTTGTTGTAGTGGGGGGTTGTACGTAAGCATAACTAGCCCCACCACAAAGTGCGCGCGACCACAAAGTGCGCGCGCGCCTTACAACCACCTCAACCTCAACGCGTCGTATCCCCACCACCATGGCCAATATTGAGGCTGCGCTTGCAGCTATTAATGCCCTAGGACCTAATAAGCCTTTTTCGTATACAGATATTGCAAAAAAATATAGTGTTGTTCGATCTACGCTTACCCGAAGACACCAAGGCCTACACGCCTCACGCGCGATAGGTGGCCAAAAACGGCAGCTCCTCCACCCACAGCAGGAGCAGGCCCTAATCGCCTATATCAATCGACTAACAGATAGAGGCTTACCACCTACTCAGCCAATGATACGCAATTTTGCCTCACAGATCGCCAAGACTAAGGTTGGAGTACACTGGGCTAGTCGCTTCGTCCAGCGCTATCCTGATCAACTTACCTCAAGGTGGGCAAAAGGCCTTAATAACTGTCGCCACAAAGCAGATTTAAGAAGCAAATACAACCTCTACTTTAGCCTCCTACGCGATAAAATTAATCAATATCACGTCGAGGCGCGTCATATCTACAATATGGATGAGAAGGGCTTCATGCTTGGTATCGTAAGTCGTTCAAGGAGGATCTTTAGTAAGGCCTCGTACGAGGGCATAAGGAGGAGGACTACGATAC